ACACACACACACACACACACACACACACACACACACACACACACACTATTCCTCTTCAAAATCTGCCTCTTGCTTTGTGGTGTACCTTTTATGACTTTGCACTTTTTAGGTGCTTTTTCTTTATCACCAAAAGAGACTGCAGACTGTTGCTCTACCTGGATCTTTCTGTTTCTATTGCAACAGTCCTTTCTGTGGCAGATGTACTTGGTGATAAAATTGTGCCCTTTGTGGATTAAGTATTGGTGTTGCTTCTTTAACTTCTCAAGGTACTGCCCCCAATATAAAAAAGAGTTCTCGCCTTTGGAAAGACTGTATTTTTACATGTCTTTTGCCTCTCATGCTGCATCTGCAACTGACCTGCAGATTTTATTTTGTCCTTTTTGCAGACTGGAAGTGTCTCCAGAGGCTCAGCCCGCACCCAGGCTCCCTCCTTCCACTCGCTCTCCTCTCGTGTCCTCTGCTCTCCCTTCCAGTTCTGGTCAGACACCCATCCCTTCTAAACTGGGGCATGACTCAGAGCCACAGCCCTTGGACTCTCCTCCTGGCTCCTCTTTCCCCTCTCCTGTAGCGGCCCCCATTTCCACATCCACTCCCATTGAACACTGGCCTCCCACAGATGTGGGTGAGGCCAGTCCTGAAGAACCGCCTTCGCTCCTGGAACCAGAGCTAGAAAAGGAGAGTTTGACACAAGTTCCAAGTACTGTTCCTTGTGCTGTGGGCTCGCTTTCCAAACAGACACCCATTCCAGTGGGGAAAGGGATGGAAGACTCTCCAGTGGGGAAGACCAGCGCTGATGACCCAGGACAGTCTCTCCGGACGCAGCCTGAAGTGGGGCGAGAAGAAGAGCTTCTGGGGTCTCCCCCCAGGAAACAACGAGGCACCATCCCTTCATCTGTCGAGGCCCGAGAAGTAACACCCGCCGCTGCGCTCAGAGGAGGCGGGACGGGCAGCCCTGCCGGGAAGCCCCCGAGGCGGGGAGCCTCAGGCTCTGCGGGTCAATCTAGGTCTCCTGTGGGGGATGCAGACGGGGGTGGCGGGATGAGTCCTGCAGTTAAGGAAGCGGTGCCCCCCGTTCCCGTGGGCGAGTCGGTGCCTCCACTTGACTCTGCGATGCAGAGACACAAAGAGATGGGTCCGGATGCCTGCGAGGGCAGAAAGGAAATCAAGGGGCAGGTGTTGTCTTCCGAGCAGCTCTCTAGGGAAGAGGCGGGGGAGGAGGCCCCTGTGCTGGTCCGCGGGGACAGAGGTGACCCCCAGGAGGTGACGCCACAAGGGGCCGCCCCTGGAAATGCGTGGGACACGGGACACTCCCAGGAGGGCGCGGCTGTGGCTGGACCCTGGCCCGCTGCCCTGGCAGCTCGCCCTCCCTGCCCGTCCTCCAAGGGGAGCTTCTTGGGGGGCCCCGCGCATGCCGCCAGCTCGGGGAGAGATGGTCCCCGTCTCAGGAGTCAGGGAGACGACACCCGGATGGCGCAGAACCAGAGCAAAGCCAGTGACCACGAGGGTCTGCTGTCTGACCCCCTGCACGGCCTTCAGTCCTCCTGCGAGGCAAAGCCCCCAGCCCTGGCCCATCTGGACTTGACCCTGCCTTCCATCCCTGAAGTCGCTTCAGAAGATGAGAGAGGAGATCAGCTTGAAGATGACAGAGGGGTGGCCCCGGTGGCAGCTCTGGGAGGAGGGGCTTCTTCCCCGAGCACGTGGCCCGCCCATGCTGAGCGGGAGAGGGCGCCCAGCAGGGAGGCCGATGGGTCAGCAGGGGGCCTGCGCGAGCCCAGGCCGGGAGCGCCCAGAGCACCCGCCCCCGCTTCTGCAGAGCAGACCACAGCCTTGGAGGTTCAGGAACCACAGTCGCCGGGCCCCGGTGACAGCGGGGAGGCAAAACCAGTGGGAGATGGGAGGCCGGGTCAGCCTCCAGCCGCAGCCCTGGATTCCCTTGTGTCCGGCCCCCCCTTTTCTGAGCCCTTTCCTGCCACACGCTCTTTTCCCACCTGTGCACACTCTGACACCCACCACACCAGTACAGCAGAATCTCAAAAAAAAGCAGCAGTCGAGGGCTCCGCGGGTAAAGTGGAAAATTCTGGCAAGAGGAAGCCGCTTCTTCAGGCCTGGGTCTCACCCTCAGACACACAGCCCATCTCGGCTCAGCCAAGCGCTGGACGCGGGTCGGCCAAGCACAGGTGAGAGCCGGGGGACGACCGTCCTCGTGCGTGTAAGCCGTGCCCGCTTTGCTTCTCGTCTCCAGGCGCCAGGGCTTGCTCACCGCACAGCTGTTCTGCGGGGTGTCCGCCTGTGTTGCCGGAAGGGCTGTGTCCTGGGCCGGGAGCAGCGTTTGTAGCTGCGTTTGTAGCAAGAACAGAGTCGCAGCTGTCCTCAGAGGTAGATTCGGAATTGTTCTGCATGGTCTGAGTTGGAGCTCTCCTTGTAGAGGAACACCGGGAACCGTATCTTATTTCCTAGTCTCGGAAACCAGCTGAGATTGACCAGGAGAACCCAGCAGTGCGGACAGCTTACCTTAAGCAGCGCCCAATGGGAAGCTGGCCTGTTTGTTCTGAGCTCTTTCCTCCCTCTCGAGGCGCGCGCAGAGGGCTCTGCAGGGACTCCCACAGTGGAGTCCTAGGCTGCAGCTGCCTCTGAGAATAGGAGACCGTCTTTAACGTTCTCCTGACGTTGATAACGAGGCCAAGGGTCCTGTGAGAAGCTCAGGACACGTGGCCGGAAGTGGTGCCTTGTTGGCTTGCACGTGGCTGCCTCGTGCTGACTGCTTTCCTTTCTGAAGGAACGTTGGCACGTGTGGGACTGCAGGTGTGAGCGTGCGTGTCCCCCCTATTCCCCCGTCACCTCTCTCGTTGGCGGCCACGTCTGAGAGAGGCAGTCCCTCAGTTCCTCTGGTTCTGCCGTGACACACGTCTAAGGAAACAGCTAAGTGTCCTTTCCCCCTTCCCTTTAGACTTCATCCCGTGAAGCCGATGAACACGGCAGCCACCAAGGTCGCTCTCTCCAGCTCGGGAACTGCCACCATCATCAGTGAGAACTTGGTCAACGAAGCCATGATGAAGGTATGTCTTCTCCAGAAGGAGGCAGGTTAGTTAGGGATCTAGAAAACCCGCTGTGAGAGTCACCATGACATACATCTCCCGGGGCAGCAGGGAACGCCAGGGGTGACTTAACCACACGTCTCGGTCTCTGGATGATCTTTGGAAGCCCCTACACTTTCCATGGGATACTTACTTTTCCCCTCATAGTTCTTTGGCTGTCGTTGAATTTTGTTGTGTGTCAAGCAACATGATTGACACCAGTACTCTTTTTTAATGAGAAGAAACTGTCACCCACCCTCCAGCCCATGCAGATCAGATATTCTCATTTTCCCCACATGTCCTTTCTTATCTTTTGGTAAGAACATACAATTCTCGCAGTTGTCATCATTGCACAGATAGACTTTTTTGTAACTTTATTCTGAAGTAATTTCAAACTTTACAAAAGCTGCAAGAATAGCACAAAGAGCTCCTGTCTACTTCCATCCCAATTCACCAACTGTTGACATTTCATCAGATTTGCTTTATCATCCTCACCCTCTCCTACTCCGTTCTCTCTTTGTAGCTGCATATATATTTTTTTCTGAATTATTTGAGAGTAAGATGCACACGTCATGCTCCTTTTACCCCTAAATGCTTAAGTGTGTAATTCCTAAGAATGAGGGCGTTTATCAAAATGAAGAAATTTAACGTGGATGCCTCTCTGCTTTCTCATCTGCGGTCCGTATTTCACCTTCACCAGTTTTCCCAGTAGTGCCCTTTCTTGTCTGTCTGTTCTCCGGTCCAGGGTCACTCCGTTATCTCGTCTCGGGAGTCTCCCTTATTCTGGAATAGTTCCTTGGCCTCTTTTGTCTTTCAAGACATTGACCTTTTTCAGAGTTGCAGTCAGTCGTTTGGTAGAACTTTCCTCAGTTTGGATTTGTCTGATGTCTCCCTGCGGTTTGGTCAAGGCTGGGCATTCTCGGCAGGAATTAACTAGAGAAATAACGTGCCCGTTCCAGTGCGTTGTGTAAAGAGCCCGCGACACCAGCCTGTCCTGTTAGTGGGGCGTTAACTGTGATGACTTAGGTTAGGTGGTGTCCACTAACCAGTGCAAAGTTGCTAGTTTTCCCCTTTACAGTTAGTAAGAAATGTGTGGGGAATTCGTTTCAGACGTTGTCAGCCTCCTGTTCCTATCAGCCTTCTGCTGGCAGGCCTTCTGTCCACTAACGCACGTGGTGGTGGCAAAATGATGGTTCTCCAGCTCCATCACCTGCGTGGAAACGCTCTGAAATCCTCTTTTTCTCTTAGTATCACATTGTAAACACTTTTGCATGTTGCTGCTTAATTATTCTTTGAGCCGGTTATGCCAGTCTTTATTTACTCACTTTCTGGTTAGTGGATACTTAGCTGGTTTTCTATTTTTCAATATGAACAACACTGTCGTCAATAATTTCTCGCATAGAACTTTTCCCTTCTTGTAGGTGATTTCCGTAAGCTAAATTTCCAGGAAGACTATTGCTGGATGAGAAGATCTCTGCTCTTTAAAAAGCTTGAGTGGCTAACACGAAAAAACCCAGCTCCTCCCCTTAAAACCAAAACCGGTGCCCCCCAGATGATCTCTGCTGGAGAGTATCTTCATCCTGCCTTTTCTGATCCTAAAATCAGAGGGATTCAGATGTGTTGTGTTTCAGACACGTGGACAGGAATTTCCTAACCCACCGCTGGGGATCACAGTTGGGAGACATAAACTTTATTTCTATTTTACTGCAAGCATCTAGAAGTTTCATTCAGTCATAGATATTTACGGTCCCAGGGACTCCAGGACATCAAATAGTTTTTGTGTTTTTAAAATAAAACTTTTGCTCACGTCTTCTTCACTCCTGCAAGCGTTTTGTAAGTGCCAGGCGGTGGCTGATACCTCTGGCTCTGTTGCACCTTTGCCTCCAGGCGCTGGGCTGAAGGTACACTGAAAGCTGGAGATTTTGGGGTCGAGAGGCTGAGTAGTAATAACGAACTGCTGCTGAAAACAAGTTAGCATCTTCTGGCCATCTTGCCTTCTCTTCCCTGTCGTCCATGCTGACAGGGCATCACTGTTAAGCATCATTCTCAAAATGATCAGCTGTAGCCAGAACTGTGAACCTACGGTGTTTTAGCCCAAAGCCTAAAGGTGGACCCTAACTTCGCCAGCTCAGCCTGGCTGGCTTCTGTAGTTGTGTAGAAGGGGCAGCACTTGTCCTCTTGGAGTTAATGATATTTACCGGGAAACTGGGCAAAAGAACAGCATGAAAGGGACCATCACGAAAACTAGAATCACTTAGCACCCCCCTCGCCCCGTCCCCTCTTCCGTTTGCTGTGGCATGCAGCTTGGCTCCGAAGAGAAGCAAGGCCCCTGGTTCCCATTCTGCTTCCTCTACAAAGCTCATTTAACCAGGGCCTTATCTCCGGGCCCTGACTGAGAGTAACTTGCCTTAAAACAAAGGCAACGGCTGCTTATTCTACTCATGATTTGTAAGTTCCGCTGCTGCCCCCCTGCCTGGATGCAACAAAGCTGTTGGTCCTGGACCATACCTGGTAACCACTCTGAGTAAACATGGAAAGGTTCCTGGATACGGCTATTGGCTGACCGTAGAATAGACGCTTTGTACTAAAGCATAAACAGTGCTTATAAAAATAACTACTCTTTGGAATGTTGCAAAGTGAGAGAGAGGTTAGGAAAAGAAGTCTCATCGCTAAAGTTACGAAAAGCCAGCTGAATCATTACTGCAATGGCTTTTTTTGTTGTTGTTGTTTTAGGGCCGCCATCTTTTATAGATGATTAAAACTAGGAATGTATTATTTATTCAGGTGGCTTCCACACTTCCATTTAAAAATAATCCAGCCAACTAGATCCAAAAATCATCTGTCATATTGTATGGGAACAGTTGGATACAAATTTGAATGTACGTCATTATTGGTACAGCTATGAGGGAAAAATCCAACGTAAAAATCCTGGAAGGAAATGTGTGACACTGGGCACTATTGTTTCTTGAATTAATGGGTATTTTCTTTGCACCTCTTCCTCTCCATGGCCATTACTCACTTTCTGTAATTGCTGGATTGCTTTTTAATTTTTTTAGTCATCACAGGAATAGGAACTTCTAATGATTTCCAAGTCCTGCATAGTTTCCTCTTTAGATTACAGAATCCAAATCGAAGAGCTGTTGGACAGTTTGTAGGAAGTACCTTAAGTGTGCATGCCTTTTCAGTTCTATGCATTTGTCTTAAGGAAACATTTAGGGATATGACCAAAGATTTATGGTCACACATTTAAATAAATGTTATTATATAATTGTGAAAATCAAAACCAACCTAAATATCCGGCAACAGAGAGATGGTTAAAATATAATGAAATTTAAAACATCCATTTAGGACTTCCCTGGTGGTGCAGTGGTTAAGAATCTGCCTGCCAATGCAGGGGACATGGGTTTGAGCCCTGGTCCGGGAAGATTGGTCTGCAGAGCACCTAAGCCCATGCGCCACAATTACTGAGCCTGCGCTCTAGGACCTGGGAGCCTCAACTACTGAGCCTGCGTGCCACAACTACTGAGGCTGCATGCCTAGAGCCCGTGCCCCACAACAAGAGAAGCCGCCACAATAAGAAGCCCGTGCGCCGCAACTAGAGAAAGCCCGTGTGCAGCGACAAAGACCCAACACAGCCGAAAATTAAATAAATAAATAAATAAAATTAAACAAACAAAGAAAATCCATTTAAAAAGCAATTTTTCTAAAGTTTAATGATGGGAAAATGCTCACAAAATAATAATTTTCAAAAGCTATAAAACTCGATTTTGTATGATGCTAAAGTTGTAAAACATATCATAAAGAAAACCCAGGAAGGGAATTCCCTGGCAGTCCAGTGGTTAGGACTTGACAGTTTCATTGCCAGGGCCCCGGGTTCAATCCCTGGTCAGGGAACTAAGATCCCACAAGCCGTACAGTGTGACAAATAAACAAAAACAAATAAACCAAACCAAATAAAAAACAACAACGAAAAAACCCCACAAACAAAACAAAACAGAAAAACAGGAAGAATAAGAAAGAAAGAGACCCCAATGTTAGGTGTTGGAGTTATAATAATAACTTATATTATAAATTATATATTATAATTATATATATTAGAGGGTAATAATTTTTTCCCTCTTCTGGATTTGAGATTTTCTATGATAAGTAAATATTCCTTTTATGATTCAAAACAAAATCCTGTTATTTGCGGGGGGAAATTAATTTTTTTTTTTTGTGCTACACGGCCTGCTGCTTCTTTCTCTCTCCCAAACTCTCTTGCAGAGCATCTTATGTAATCAATATTTTTGAATAAATATAATCCTTCTGTGACAGAGGTATAATCTAAAACCCCTTGAGGGTGTATTCTTGGCTATTGTTTACAAAGACTACTTTTTTCCTTGATAGGATATGTAAACAGACACACCCTGTTTGAAAGTGTCAGGCACGTTTCTAAGCTAGTGTTGCCATCATCGTGCTGTTCTTTGTAGCCCGGACAAGAGGGCCGGGATTTCTTTCGGGATTCTGGCCGGTGTGCAGGCAGCTTGCGTCACTGGACTGAACAGGGTCTTCTCTTGTGTCGTGTCAGGGTTGACCCTGCTCTTGACGTAGCTGCTTCTTGAAGCAGGTGGTTCTGAGCCTTCCTCAGTGAAACTGTTAGACCCTCACGAAACCGTGATTACCTCAGAGTTCCACCGGCAAAACTGTCTTGAGGTTGCCCCATGACCTCGTCTCTTTAAACTTATGAATCTGAGCCATAGATTTCAGGAAAAGTTAGCTTTGGGGGTTTTTCCCCCTCTCACTAGAGACTTGGTACAGCGTGTTACTTTATATAATCCTTATCTTGCGTTTCCTCATGGCTGGGGCCTGGGCAGTTTTCAGTCAGCCGCCAGTCATCCCAGATTGTAGATGTAACTCTGTGGGGCTCCCGCTCTGGTCAGGACGGGGCTGCTCAGCCACTGTACCCAGAGGGGGCGCCATCGATGGCTGTGACGGTGGCCCTTGGCTTTGACTCTGCGTAGTTTTGGGGAATGACTTACAGTGGGGTCTCCCAGTGCACCCTCCTGGTCACCAGATATCCTGAGCACAGCCGAGGCAGTAGCAGACCTTCTGGGATGGGCGGCCACGTGTTGTCTTGGGAGGACAGTGTCGCCTCCTGCACCGTCTGCCACTAGGGTTTCTCCACAGGTCACCTTAGACTGGGGCTCAGCTCCACTTGGACAGCTGGTTGTGCCAGCTCCAGGGTTCACAGGCCACCAGTCATTACATCTCTAAACCCCAAGCCCAGAGTCTAGCCCGGGGGTCTGCAGCCTGTGAGCTGGGTACGGTTTGTACATTTTTAATAGGTCATAAAACAAAGCACCAAACCAAACCACAAAGACGAACATGCAGCCAAGGCCACCTGTGGCCTGCACAGCCTGAAATACTAACTCTTTGGCCCTTTCACAGAAAAGTTCATCCGTCATCAGTTTTCCACCAAAATCAAAGACGAATTCCCAGGAGACTCAGATCACAGACTCAGTCACTAAAAGCTACCTCTTTTGTATTTCTTTAAGATGTTTGACTCCTTGACTGACTTTATCACTTTTCTCCCCACCTCCCAAAGAAATACAAGCCCTCGGAACCCGCGTTTGCTTATGCACAGCTGACCCACGACGAGCTGATCCAGCTTGTCCTCAAACAGAAGGAAACGATAAGCAAGAAGGAGTGTCAGGTGCGCCAGCTGGAAGACTACATCGACAACCTGCTGGTCAGGGTCATGGAAGAGACCCCCAGCATCCTCCGAGTTCCCTCTCAGGTTGGCAAAAAAGCAGGAAAAATGTGAATCACTTGCCTCCGGCACTGAGACTTGTGTGTGTTTGTTTCCGCCTGCTCCCAAGGCCGAGGACTCTGGTGTGCCTGAGAGCCCCAAGGTCCAGGCTCCAGACCGCTCTCTCCCTCGCGCCTTATCTGGCAAGAGTTAGTCCCACCCACAGAAGCCAGGTTAATTATTACAATGAATCTTTTATTGGACATTCCCAGGGTTTTATTTTTAAATGCCACTGTGCCTTTAACCAAGTTGTAAATATTTTATGCCTGACCGGAGACATGGTCATTAGATCTGATCCTGGCCCAGAGGTTCAGATGGCGCTGGGGGTATTAATGTATTTTTAACATTGGGGTTTTCTTTCTTTAATATTGAGATTTTAAAGTACGTCTCCCGGGCTTCCCTGGTGGCGCAGTGGTTGAGAATCCTCCTGCTAATGCGGGGGACACGGGTTCGAGCCCTGGTCTGGGAAGGTCTCACATGCCGCGGAGCAACTAGGCCCGTGAGCCACAACTACTGAGCCTGCGCATCTGGAGGCTGTGCTCGGCAATTAGAGAGGCCACGATAGTGCGAGGCCCGCGGACCATGATGAAGAGTTGCCCCCACCTGCCACAACTAGAGAAAGCCCTTGCACAGGAACGAAGACCCAACACAGCCAAAAATAAATAAATAAAATTAAAAAAAAAAAAAAAAGCCAATAGGACTAGGAGGGAGAAACCATACCTTGGAAAAAATCTTTAAAAAATAAAAAAATAAAATATAAAGTACGTCTCCCCCAGCCATTAAAACTTAGGGTGAGATGACGAGGACCAGGCAGCTGGTGCGGTGTTGCACATACTTTCTTGGCCTTTGAGTAGCCCAGCTGTGGCGTTTTGGCTGCAGATGCTAAGTTTTGATACTATGTAAACCTACCCAGCTCCTCGAACTTGGTCTTTTGTTTTCGACTGGAGCAGAGGGGCTTAGGGTACACCTCCGAGTGTGCCTCTGAGATTTGGAGCAAGCTGCCTTTTTCAGACATCAGCCTCCGCTACTCTGTAGCCTTAAAGTGTGCTCTTTATCATCCAAGAGGGGCTGTCTGTGGAGGTATGGAAAGTAGACCAGGGGAATGAGAATCACTTTGCACTGGGGCAGTTGGTCAAAATCCCTCCTCTTGTGATCGCAGGGTCCCTGCTGGCTGGAGTGACCGAGTCAGTGCCTTGATTAGGGATCGGGTGAGCCAAGCACTTGCTAAAACAGTCCCACCAGGTACGGAACAACTGCAGCGGCATCCACTGGCCCTCTCCCACGTGCCGTCGCTTGGCTCCCTGGTTCCCTTAGCAGCTCTTCTTGGCATTTCCCTCCCCCACCCCTTGTTATAAAATTGTGAAGAGCAAGATGATACCTATTTTTAGATGGCTGTATTTTTAAAACTAGATTAACATACTTTTTTTTTTTTTAAACTAGGACACTTGCCCCCTTCTCAACTAATAGCACCAGTTCAGAGTCTTCAGGTAATTTCGTTGTTAGTAACCTGATATTGGAATTGGAATGTTTTCTGTATTACTCATTTTTTTCTCCCAGTTGTGACAGAATCTCATCAAATCCCAGCATCTCTCCTGGGAGGAGAATGTCACAGGCCAAGTGGGTGGGCAGGGGTTGAGATGAGAGCAGTTATTAAATGGAACGCTCTTCTATGTTCATTCTTGTTATATTGAAGTTAAGAGGCAAGGTGATTGGCAGCGGAATCCCTTTTCAGGATCACGTTTGCTGCCACGTTAGTTAATATCAGAGCACTTTAATCTGAAGGATGATACTGTAACTTGATTTAGCTAATTTGCTTTGAATTATCGATAGCTCTTTTATTTAATACCCTCCTACAGTACTGGGGACCACTGTAAACTTCTCAGATGACTTGTATTTTTGTAGCGCTATGAGATTTCCGTGCATCCCTGTAAAGAGAACTGGATATTCGCTGGAACTCTGCAAATGCACGTGTATATATTTGTTCTGCAATGTTTTTTACTTGATGTCAATGTACTTTGACGGTGATGCCCACGTGCACTGGGTGGCGGGAGCGCTGAGTGGTTTCTCCTCGGAAGAGCCGCTACGGTGACCTGCATGCTTCCCAAGAGCTGGTTGTTGTGGAAAGATCTGCTGCTAGGACCTCGGGGATGGGAGCCGGTCTCTGTTTGAGAGGAACGACTGGGTGGAGGAGCAAATTCCTCTGCTCTGTATGCCACTCGAGAACTCTGGAGAATGAAGGACAATCTACTTCAAGGGTGTCTGGTTTCTACCACTGCTGGGAAAAAGATTCCAATGCAGGTAGCATTCCTGCACCTCTCAAGGTCACCGGTTAACGCCTGTCCTTGAGGACTCTGCTGTGAGGGAGAACTCAGCTAGGAATGCTGGAGCCTGCTCTGAGCTGTTGGCAGGGGCAGGTGGACTGGAGGGCTGGAGCTCCTGCAGCCGGTGTGGGTCTGAGGGCTTACACCCAGCTGTCTATACCAGGAGAGCCTGAATTAGCCTCTAGCTGCTGAAAGTGCTCACCAAACTGACGGGCCCTAGGAGGAGGCCGTGCTCTGCAGAAGCAGGAGCAGCTCTTTCTTGGCCTTGCCTGGCTGACCCCGTGGAAGACCAGTCAGTACTTCAGGGAAGCATCTGATGAAATACCAAACACCTTGTGATGAACTTCAGTGGGAGGTCAGCGTCCGGAAAAAAATGTCAACCCTTTGCCCGGGTGTTTCATATCATCTCAGTCCTTGGACTTTGACAGATGTCCTGCCCACCCCTTTTATTTCCTGTGTGTCGGCCTCTCCAGGTAACAGAATGGAGGGGCAGGAAGGTCTGTCCTTTGCCACACGAACAGCGTTGACCCTGAGTGGAGGGTGCGTGCGTGGTGAGTGGGATACGTGTGTGGTTTCCAGCTTTGCTAACAGTGGGGGCTTGGAAGGGCAAAGAGGGAGGAGGGTCCACGACACTCAGCCACCCGCCGGATTGAAGGCCAGAGGCAACCTGATGTTAAATTAGGCACGATCTTCCCTCCCTGTGCCCCTTCTTTTTTAGAACTGCTAACTAATGGTCCCTCAAGGCTGAAGGATCTGTTGCCTTAGGTGAGTGGAGAGCTTAACCTCCAGTTAAGCTTAACCTCCACACCAGCCTCAACCCTGTGGTTTCTCAGTATCTATCATGTGAGCTGCTAACTTGACCTCTTCCTCCCTCTGACTTGAAAGTTCACCCAGCATCTCTGGATTACAGAATTCTTATTTCCTGCTTTGTTACTTTGGGAATTTTGAACTTCTTTGCTTTTATTTTTAAGAAGTAACCTAAAATTTCCTACAACACTAAATAAAATGGCACTACCTTTCAAAGATTTGTGTCTGTGGTGTCGTACGGGTGCAATAAGAATTTCTTCTGTCTTCTTGGAAAACCTTTCTTGGGGGCATGACCGGCGTTTCTCACCCCATGAGGGTCTCTTGCCTGGGTTCCTGCTGCTGCCACGCTGTCTGATGCCCAGGGATCCCAATGCCCTTTCTCCTCCAGAGGTTGGGACATCTCTGACCCTTCCCTATGACATACCCCATATTTTGGCCTGGAAGGGACTATGGTGTTTACCAGATGAAGATCATTTGAATTTCCTGTCCCTAGTGCTACAGGCTGCCACCTTTTCCTTGGCAGTGGTCGCCTTCAGCTAATCACATGAACAAGGCCACTTTCTTGATTCCCTCCCCCATGCCACCCCCTGCCTCCTCACCCCTGCCCCACTGATTTCCCAGAGAGTGACATGTTGACCTTTGGAGCATGAGTTGAATTCACACTGGGTTCAGGAACGCCCAGATCAGTACCAGATCTAGGTTCCTGGTTCCATCAACCGAGTTCGTTCATTTCTGAGTAGAGGGAATTCTGGCTGTAAAGGACTCTTCCTCCTGAGCTCATTCTACCAATCTCCCACCTTTGCTGATGAGGTGAGAGGTCTGCCTGCCTCAACCAAGGGTCCCCACCTCTCAGAAGGGAGGAGATGCTCTTTCTTAGAGATGAAAGTCACACTGTAGAGGCACAGAGGCAGGCAGCGCCCGTGAAGCCCCTGGGTGGACTGGGGGGAGCTACCTGAAGGCCTCCCTGGTTTGGGTGAGGGGCCTGGTTACCCAGCCAGATGTGGACGGTGGGGCCACCGCGTACAGTGATACAAAAGCGGCTTCTCTTGACACAACAGCCTCCCAGGTTTGCTTCAAACAAATAAAAAGCCCTCCAAGGAGAGTCTCTAAGGAAGGAATGTTTACACAAATGACCCCCAACTCTCCCCCAAGATTCATTTCCCTTGCATTTGGAGGGGGCACCCTGCCCACCTCCCCATGGAAAGTGTCATTTACAGGGTACAGTTACCACCGTGATCATGGCCAAAGCGCTGGCAGCACGCGCTCCCCTAGCCCTTGGACCCCATCTCGAAGCCGATGGAGCCCGTGCCCTGGCCTTCTCTTTGGGGGTGTCATCTTTTGGCTTCTGCAGGCTTCCCCTCCTGGGGAGGCAGGTGCGATCACTTCCCATTTAAGTTCAAAGCTGGCTTAGCTGAACTCTGTGGGACCAGCGGATCCCAAAGCCACAGAGTCTCCTGAGGGAGGATGTCCTCATTCAGCCTTTCGACGTTTGACTCTTACACACCTGTATCCCAAGCCCTGGAACTAGTCACCCTGGTGACACTGACAAGCCCTCAGAGCTGCGAGAAAACTGCTTCATTCTTGCATTATCAACTGCTCACTTCAGGCTGAAACTTGGTCGCAAAAGGAAGGCCTGTTTATTGAGTTCCTGCTTATTCACTAAGCGCCGCTGAGTACTATTTCCAATTCTCAAGGTAGATAATATCTCCATTACGCAGATGAGGAAATGGAGACTTTCAGAGGCATCAGAACTTAAGTTTGCCTGGGGTCCCACAGCAGGTAAAGAAAGGATTTGAACTCCTCACCTGTGCGACCTGGGGTTCTAGAACAAGCGTCAACAAACTATGGCTTCGCTTTTGTTCATGTAACCCTCAAGCCAAGGAATTTTTCCTGGGAGTTCCCTGGCGGTCCAGGAGTTAGGACTCTGTGCTTTCACTGCTGCGGCACCGGGTTCAATCCCTGGTCAGGGAACTAAGACCTCACAAGCCTCCCACAAGCCATGTGCGGTACGGCCAAAACAAAAAAAAAACCACGATGATTTTTCCTTTTTTTTTTAAAATGTGGGATGAACAAGTGGCCGGAATGATGACCACAGTCAACAACACCTCACTGAACACTGGAGATTTTTACAGTTAAAGAATCAAAATAATATTTCATGACATATGGAAATTACATGAGATTCAAATTTCATTGTCTACACAACTTTATTGGAATACAGCAGTGCTTATTTAGGTAATTGTCTACGGCTGTTTCCACGTTGCAACAGCAGACTTGAGTGCTTAAAACAAAGACCTTCTCGCCCACCAAATCTAAATATTTGCTCTCTGGCCCTTCACAGGAAAAGTTTGCCGACCCCCAGTCTAGGCCCCCAGACTAGGAGGCCCCAGTCTCCTCTAGCCTTGGGGGTGGAGGAGATAATATTCTGAGTGACTTGACATCCTGGAGGATGGGCAGGGAAAACGGAGGGCCTCAAGACAAGGCCCGATGAGCCATGGCTCTGAGGAGGGAAGGTCCCTCTGAGGCGACTGTGTTCGTGCTCTAGGCCTGTGACCTCCTTCTCCGAGTTACCACGTGCCTTCGTTCCTGGGAGATCAGAAAACCGAACACAGCGATCCTCAGCGCAGGGGAGGGAATGTGTATTGGGGTCACACAATAAACAACAGGAAAGGGGAAAGTGATACGAATGAGGGCAGGGACTTGGCACAAGGGTTTAGGAAGTACTGGCCGTGCCCTGTACTGAGGCTGTGTCACCCTTGTGTGTCAGAGAAGAATCATTGTCTACTGAAGAGCTGAGGTGATGGGGACCCAGTCAGAAAGGCTCCAAGACTCATTGTGATGAGGAGAAGGGGGTCCTCTGGACTCAGAGTGAAACTGGATTAGAGTCATCGGAGCTGGAAGGAGCCCCGGGGGAGGCCCTGAGGGCAGCCCAACTCCCACTGGTTGCTCGTTCCAGATTAGAAATGATCCCATCTCTGAGGAATCCCGTCTATATGTTGCTTCTGACCGGCCCTCCCAGGACAGGTGTCCACCAGAGCCGGACAGCCTTTCCGGAGCGTAGCAGGCACTCCCAGGACACGGGGATGAGAAAGCCAGGTCATTCCCAGGGAAACTTGTAACAAAGACAGGTAGATCCCTAACACATTCGCACATGTCACCAAGGGACGGCTGGCCTGGGGCTTCCTTCAGGCCCTCAGTGCCCTCCTCTCTGGCCTATTCTCTAGAAAGAACTCTGGCCTTAAGGTCAGTATTTCACATCTGGACCACGTCTGAGGCATCCTTTCCAATGGCCGCCCCTCCCCAGTAGCTTTCTGCTCTAATCCAGCCCATCCTGGGCACTCAGCCTTCCAAAAGCCTACGTGCCAGGAACCATGTGGGCTCCAGCCTTACAGACAAGAAGCATGGCTCCAGCTTCACAGGCTCAGGGAGGAGTAGGGGAGAGAGGTTGGAGGAACAGCTGTTAAACAGATCATCATGGGCTTCCCTGGTGGCGCAGTGGTTAAGAATCTGCCTGCCAATGCAGGAGACACGGGTTCAAGCCCTGGTCCGGGAAGATCCCACATGCTGCGGAGCAACTAAGCCCGTGCGCCACAACTACTGAGCCCTCGTGCCACAACTACTGAAGCCCATGTGCCTAGAGCCTGTGCTCCGCAACAAGAGAAGCCACCGCAGTGAGAAGCCTGCGCACGGCAACGAAGAGTAGCCCCCTCTCACCGCAAATAGAGAAAGCCCACGCGCAGCACCGAAGACCCAATGCAGCCAAAAATAAATAAATAAATATCCCTTTAAAAAAAAACCAAAAAGAACAGATCATCACTATCACTGAATGATGGTAACTCTTGATAGAGTCTGTAGCAGCAGGAAAGGCACCAAGGCTGATGTATCTGTCCTGATTTCCCAGAGGAAGGCAAATAAATTTCCTAAATAAACAGATTTCTTCCTGAGAACGTGAACCCCAGACTTGCATGTCTTAGTGGAGCGCGCCATCTTCTGGCCTGGGTCCTGCCCACCTCCTAGCCTGTCTGTCTGAGGGCGAGGCTCTCTTACACTATCACATACCTGTGGCTGGAAGAGAATCACTCCTCCACCCCTAGAGTTGCTGGTAGGAGAATCATAAACCTGCTCTTCCACTTTACTGTGAGTAGTGTTGGGGAAAGCAGAATTCCAGGGCTTCTGTCATAGGTAGATGACTCTGTAGTAAAATCCCACTTTAAAAAAGTGCAGTTCAGTTCAAGAGCTGTGCAAAATTGGGGATGAGAGGAGTCTGATGCTGTTCTGTATGGTAATGTAAAGAACTACTCCCAAAGAGACACATGTATATGTATAACTGAATCACTTTGCTGTACACCTGAAACTAACACAACATTGTTAATCACCTATACTCCAAAATAAAATAAAAACTTAAAAAAAAAAAAAGAAACCTACTCCTGGCCTTCCCTGGTGGCGCAGTGGTTAAGAATCCACCTGACAACGCAGGGGACACGGGTTCGAGCCCTGGTCCGGGAAGATCCCACATGCCGCGGACAACTAAGCCCACGCGCCACAACTACTGAGCCTGCGCTCTACAGCCCACGAGCCACAACTACTGAGCCCGTGAGCCACAACTGCTGAAGCCTGCGCGCCTAGAACCCGTGCTTCGCAACAAGAGAAGCCACCGCAGTGAGAAGCCCATGCACCGCAACGAAGAGTAGCCCCTGCTCGCCGCAACTAGAGAAAGCCCACGCACAGCAACGAAGACCCAACGCAGCCAAAAAATAAATTAATTAAAAACAAAAAACACCTACTCCCAGTGCCAGTTATGTGGCTTTTAGGGACCTGTTTCCCGTCCCCAGTAAGGATGTCGACTGCACTGTCTGAAACTAACAGATGTCTCTGAGAGCTGTGTGTGCACACCTGAGCACACAAGTGTGTCCCCAGTATTGATCTGCTGGACAACCAGAAATTAATCCTGTCATACCTCACAGTAGTGGGGAAGTCTAGGAAAGAGGGAACTTGGGGCACCAAAGCCCACTCAAGCCCTCGCATGGCGTGGGGCTAAAGTGAGTAATTCACACCTCGGGGAATGGACTGTTAGAGATTATTGCATCCCTTGGTTGGGGGAGGGGTGGATCCCTCCAGTGGGACCAAGCCCTGTGGTAGCGGTTGGGATTTCTCTAGGAGAGCGGTTCTCTTGCTCTGAGAAAGCAGTCTCTGGGGGACAAGATGGGACCCTTAGATGTGG